TAGTGGCACAAAGGTTACTTTATACTATTACATTTTTGAGTAGTTTTTGGAGGACATACTTTTTCACTTTTACTTGAGTAAAGAGGTCAAGTTGATACTTTAACCAGAGTGTTTTTAAACTGCAGTATCTATACTTCTACTTAAGTAACAAATTGTACTTTTGACAGCACTGCTAAAAACTGATCATTGACTCAGACGGACCCGTTTCCACCGCTTATCTTCCTCCCTTTGATTTTCTTTAACTGTGAAGCCGCTGATTCAGCTTCAGCATGAGACACCCAGAGAGCTCATGTTTCAGCCTTCATGCTCTACCAAACACTGAGCCTGACCTCTGACCCTTTGGACATGGGGGGGTCAACCATTCTGCAACAGTTTAAATATAATTGTTTCTTAAATGAAGTATTTTTTCCTTTGAATTCAGCAGATAAGATCATTTGCCATTTTATAAAGATGATTTACATTTGAAACACAAATCAAATTCAATACTTTATTTAAATTGCATCATATCTAATTATCTTATTTTTCTTTCAGATCATCTTATTTACTTTCTTATATTAATGGAAAGTTTACTTTTTTTTTTAAAGAAAATCTTTGCCAAGTTTTTTTTTTTTTTTTTTTTTTTTTTTTTTAAGCACAAAGACAATTGAAAATGCTTTATGTGAATTAAACTACATATATACAGAAAAATAAAAGCAAATTAAAATAAAAAAACATGATAGAAGCAGGAAGTAAAATAAAGAAAACTGTTAAACTAACGATGCCTCAGTTCATAGTTCAAGTTCAATACACTGGAAAAAATCCAAATCTAAATAAGTATTTTTTCTTAAAATAAGTGAATTTGTTCTTGGATTGAGGAGGAAAAAGATGCATTTCGAATATGGAACAAAAAAATTTATAGTTAAAATAAAAAAACACAATCGAATTGTCCTATTTCAAGTACATATTATCTAATTATCATATTTTAAGAGTAAAAATACGCATTCCATTGGCAAAATATCGCATTTACCTTCCCAAATTAATGGTAAATACACTTAATTTAAGACATTTTTACTTATTTCTAGATCATTTTTCCCGTGCAGTCAAAGGCAGCTCTAAACTAACTTTGACTTAAAAAAACTCAGGTTTTCTGCTCTTTTCCAGTTTTCTGGGAGTTTGTTCCAGATCAGTGGAGCATAGGAACTAAATACTGCTTCTCTGTGTTTGGTTCTAGTTCTGGGTGGAGTGAGTAGGCTGGAACTAGAAGAACCTCGATAAAAAAAATAAAAAAAAGCATTTTCACATCAAACAGGATTAGTGTTTAAAAATAATTTCTCTTTATTTGCCACATAACCAGAATGGACTGCACTGTTATACAAAACTTTCAATAAATTTCCTTCTGACACAAAAATACCCATTATGATGCTCCAACACACACTCACACCCACTCACTCACTCATGCATACAACCTAAAACAAGAACGCGCCGTTTCTGATTTGGCACTTTGGACACGTGGAGCCGTTTGCATTGATCTGCTGGTATGGGTGGCCATGCAGTGCTAAAGTCGCTGCGTCTGCAGCACCAACATCCCTTAACCTCCATCTCCGGTGGGCCGCCCTGGCCGACGTACGGCCCGGGACACAGAATCTAGGTTTCCTTGGAAATCACAATCGACAGATCACAGAGAAATGGGAAACACACAGAGTTACAGCAGGAATAAATGTTAGAAAAAACAAAACAAAAAAACAGACGGATCCACACTGAAGGACTTCATGTCTGCCGCTTTGATGCTTCCGTTAACTTTTTATTCTTTTTCCTTTTAAATAACCTTGAAGAGGAAAAACAGGAATACTTCTATTCAAACACAGATTTCTGAGGTTGACCAATTTGTGTTAAATTATAACAGAACATCGGCTTGGACTGAGGACGATCCGACAGGCCTGAAGGAGCAAAACCAGCAGAAGGAAGCAGTGTCTCATACGCCTTACAGTCAAAACACACCAGAAACAACCATTAAAGGCTCCTATGGTAAAATAAAACCGTCCCCAGTACCGACTGGTTCCTGGTTCTGAAGGAGCACAAGGTTACGTCACGTTTTATAGAAAAATGATCAGATTTTCCTCCATAAATGCCTTTATCACACCGTTAGTCAATGGGTTAACATAATTAGACTGAAGTTAAACCAAAAATGAGGCAAATAATAACAGTTCTGGCCTGACCTTGATCTACTGACACTTTACAGAAATTTTCCATCACATTTCATCATGTTGCAGTTATAATCTTGGAGGGAATTTAATGCGATTTTAATGCGACTGTGCAGCTTCCTGCGAATTTGTGATGCATCCCTGTTCCAACACACCCTGAATCAAAAGGAACATTTTAAAAACCTTTTACCTGAACAGGAGATGCACTGAGGAAAGACGACCTGGAGGAGTTACAGACGTCTGAGATACGGAGCGGAGAAGTATGGAGGGAATTTTGTTCCATTATTGTTGAAAGCAAAGAATATGGAAGATTATGGAATCCAGAAAATGAAATTAAAAAAATATTTCTAGCAAGAAAATTTGTTTAAGCAACTTTGCTGTTTTCTCAGATGTTTTTTCAGATAGTTAAGTTTTTTTTCATATTCATTGATATTTCAATTTTATTGATTTTTTACATTTGATTTTTTTTTTATAGATTTTATATTTTCAATTCTTTCAAATTTGAGTTTTACATTCTTATTGTGTTTTACAGATTCTCCTCAGTAACGTGATCCATGAAATCAATAAAATATGAGAAGCTTTAAAAAAATGTCATATATCAAATTTGAAAAAGATTGAAAAATATTAAATCTTAGAAAGAATTTATATTAAAATAAAAAAAACGTGAAATAACAAAATCTGAGAAAATAGTAAAATTACTCTCAAAACATTTTCTGATTAAAATGTTTTTTTTTCCCACATCTCCATTTACAAAATGTGTCCTTTTCGTGCCACAATAATGGAGCAAAATTCACCCCATAGACAGGAAAAGCAAGGAACACGTTGAAAAGAAGCAAACCTATGAAGACAACGGCCATTAAAGTGATAAAGTTAATAACGAGAGCGTCAAGAAGAAGCCAAATTGAGGGGGGGTCTTACAACACATCCTCCCTTTAGCGCAGCGACTAAAGGGTGATAAATGTGCCAGAATCACATGACAGAAAACCTGGTTATTGATTGTTGGAGGTGATTCTATGACAATCAAGGCAGAAAAGCTCTTAAAGGCTGCAGAAGAGCAAAGACTGGGGTGAAGGTTCACCTTCCTGCAGGAAAACCAGCATCTAAGAAGATCAAAGGCCTCATCTGATGTCAGGACGGCCTAGTCAAAGTCAAACCTGAATCTGATGCAAAGATTGAAAATTAATGACAGAGCGACAAGAATGGGCGAGAGTCTCAGTAAACGTAAATAAGACAATCCTGGAATGTAAATTGAATTTAAATAGTTTAAAAAATATATCAGCTGTCCTCCATTTCTCTAATGTTGGCTGTTCTTATAAAAAACATTTAAGACGTGATGAAACATGATAAAATGTGAGGGAAAATGAATACTTTGTTTAAAGCCACAGAGGAAGCCTGTTGGAAAACTCTCTTTAAATCCATCCAATAATAAAAGGGTGGATCTAAAAAAAGAGCCGAACTTCCTGTTGTGGACGTTCCGCTGCTGGAGACGGACGACGCTCTGCAGGAATCCGCCTTCATCCTCGTTCTCTGTCTTAGAGCCTTAAACTAAACCATGACATAATGCTTCAAATAGTGTCGTCATAAACAGCTGAATATAAAACACACCACGTGAACTGCTGTCAGAGAAAGATTAAAAAACGTAGAAATGAAACCAGGTAAGGATCCTAAGGCCTGTTTGAAGTTGGCAGCTCGTAATAAAGTTTCCTCTTTCATGTGGAGGAACTTCCTGTTCGTAAATGCAGGCCTGTTTCCAGACCGCGACGCAAACCCTCCACATACGAGACGTCAGCTCTGAGGAACGCCCCCCTCAGCCGTCAGGTTTAGGACCGCTTCCTGTTTGTCCTTCATCCGCTGCTCTCCTCCGCGTTGCTACTGGAAGTTTTGTGTTGTTTATTTCAGAAAGGATTCCTTAAAAGTGTTTTGGTTCTCTGTCAGGTCAGCGGGCCGGCTGTCGGCTGGGAGCGCGCCGCCGTCCCGGACCTCATGTGCTCTTGTCTCTCTGGTTGCAGTTGTTGTCTGTGCTGCAGAGGTGGCGCTGCTCGCCCTGCGCCGCCTCCTTCTGCGGGCCGTCCTCCTTCGGCTGCCGGCGCCTCGATTTGACGGGCAGGACCAGAACCACCAGGAGACACAGCAGGTGCAGGCAGAAGTACCACGAGCTGCAACGACACATTAAAACCCTGCAGTTTTAGACACTTAAAGTAGATATTAATATTTGTAATAACCAATAATTACTGATACCATATGTTATACATTCCCTAAGCTTTGGACCCCCCGCAGAGCTGACTGCCCCTCTGCTTCAGTTAAAACACCCACAATCCTTTGCTGCACCCCAACAAACGACTGATACAATATATCTACATAATACCAGCTTCAGCTTTTCAGTGCGTAGGTAATCAAGTTACTCTTTAGTTACCTCTAAGGCATTACATTATTCATAATCTAACGCAGAGGGTTACAAAAATCCATTAATCAATCAACGCTGATGCTGATTGGCTGATTGGAGCTGAGATGGACGCATGCAGGAAGACGGCGCAGAGCCAACGATACGACAGAAGTAGAATGAAGTCGAAGGATAAACGTTTCAGTGATTTGGTCATTTTGTATGGAGTGGATTTTGATGCGTTATTGTTGCAAATAAAGAAAACATTTTTGACTTGGAAATTATAAGGGCAAAAAAAATCTAATTCAAAAATTTGTCAGGGTTTGGTTGAGGTTTTTAGTTAGAGGGGAGTTTTGTAGATTTAATGAGATCGCTCACAGGCGAATGGGGCAGGAATCCAAAAGCCCAACATAAAAGTACAGAAAAACCAGAACCATATGAAGGCATGAAGTATCTTGGGATTAGACTCAGTAGGGATTTAGAAATGTTACCGTCACTCCATTTTAATCCGGTTCTTTCAAAAATTAAAACAAGCTTTGAAAAATGGGAAAAGATAAAGCTGACGTTATGGGGTAAGATTAATATCAGTTTAACTATGTGCTTATGATGCTTCCTATTACAATCCCACCCGATATTTTTAAAAGGTATGAAAATTTGATAAAGCAATTTTTGTGGGGAGGTAAAAGACCGAGAATAAAACTAGAAAAATTGTATGCCCCTAAAGATAAGGGTGGTCTAGGACTTCCGGATCCAAAGCTCTACTGTTTGTCATCTGAGATGGCTAAATTAGTTAAGCATTGGGAAGGTGAGAACGGACAGGACTGGTTACATTTTGAAAGGGATATTTGCTCGCCGTTTGACCCAAAACACAAATTATCTCAAAGCAACGACACAACAAACCCAGTTTATGTTCATTCTTGTAAAGTTTGGTCAAAGATACATAAATTGTTAAAGCTTCCACATCAACTAGAGGAATATGCGTCTCTCTGGAATAATCCTGCTATATGTATTGGTCAAACACCTGTGTTTTGGAGGCAGTGGCATTCACACGGTATATGCACCATTGGTGATTTGTATAAAGACGGGAAATTCATGACCTTTAACGAACTTACTCATACATTTAATTTGGAAGGCAGAGCAAATTTTTGGAAATATCTACAGATGAGACACTGTGTTACCTCAAAGTTTAAAAAGATTGCAGGAAATGAGATATTGAACTATATTAGGTTGCCTCGTGACCGTCACTCTACCTCACAATTTTATAAGCTGATAAGTTATGATTTAAGTGGTGAATCGTCAAATATCAAACTTTTATGGCAGAAAGATCTGTTAATAGAGTATACAAAAGAAAAATGGTTGAGTGTTTTGTCAGACAGTGGTAAATATGTGAAGGAGGCCAGAAGTAAATTTATACAGTATAAGGTTCTACACAGATATTATCATACGCCTACTAGGCTACATGCAATGAAAATAATGTCAGACAATATGTGTTGGAAATGTAAGAAAGAGGTGGGCACATATATGCATTGTTTTTGGGACTGCTCTCTGGTTTCATCGTTTTGGACTAAAGTCTTGGAAACTCTGGGAGCATGGCTTGGTTCAGAGATCCCTCAGACTCCAGAATTGTGCTTACTGGGAGACAGATCTCAAACGCCGAACACCCCAAAAGGAGCTTTTACAGTTGTGGTGGTCGGTCTGGTGACAGCCTGTAGGATCATCTTAAGACATTGGAAGACTACAAAACGTCCCGAGCTAAATGAGTGGATTAAATCAATGACGACCACAGCTTCCTATGAAACCATGCTCTACAACATTGAATGGAACAAGAACATGGAATGGAAAAGTTTCTGGGACTCTGTGAAAAGGACTACGGCTTCTGTGTAATTTGGTTGGATAAAGCTTCTTGTTTTTCCTGGACTAACTTTTTCCCAGATACTATAAGTTTTTGAATTATCACTGTGACATGCATATGTACAGCTGTACCCTGATGGGAGGGGTGGGGGGGTGCACCAGCCTTTTTTTTTTTTCTTCTGTTTTTTCTGTTCATTACTGTTCATGTTCGTATTTTATTTGACAATATGCAAGAAATCAATAAAAATTTGAATTACAAAAAAAAAGAAAAACCAGAAACATAGAGACATCAGGGAAAACATGCTTGAGGAGCCAGGGAAAGACGAGGAACCAGGAACTGAGGAACTGTACAGGGAGAGTATATATGGGAGACTGAACAAAGACAGAACTAATGAGCTGATTGGGAGCAGGTGTGAACAGAGGATCCTAGAAGGAGCTAGGGAAAAGGAGACCAACACAAGGAGGCAACAGAGGGCAACAAAGGCTACGTTCACACTGCAGCCTGAAGTGACCCAAATCCGATTTTTTTGCCCATATGCGACCTGGATCTGATCTTTTCATTTGTTTACATTTTGACATGCTGCTATATCTGTTTTAATTTTGCTTTGCTGCTCGCTGTGTCCATAAAATGATCTTGGTGGTTGAATTTTGGAGAATCTAAGCTTTCTGATAATGGCTAAAATTTCTACATTGGTAAACATTTTACTGGTGAAATTTTCAACAAAATGTCTCCTTTGCTCGTCACAATAATGGAGCAAATTTCACTCCATATATAAATCAGTTAAACAGAGCTCTAATCTAAAGAAGCTTCTCCCATCAATTCAACACTGAGGTACGTGCTGCTCTTTATTTTCTGTCTTATAGAGTATTTTTCTGTTAGTTTTTTCTCACACAGAAATACTGGGATTAAACGGTGGAAGAAGCTGAAGATGTGAAGGAACCAGAGAGGATGTGGATCAACCGAGCCCAGCGAGGACAGAGTCTGGGTTTAATCCATGAATCAAATTAAATAAACTAAAGATGTCGTTCTCAAAGCTGCAGCACCAGAACATTAATTTATCACACAGTGGAGACATGGATGGAAAAACACTAAGTGGGTCACAGAGAAATGCAGACATATGACTTCAAACTGTATGAGTTATAATCTGCTATTAATAAAACAATCTTTAATCTTTATCAACCCAAAGGCCTATAAACTATTTAATATCTCTGTTCTTAAATTGTTTCATTTTCTTCGACAAAATGTTTGTCTTCAGTTTTTTTTTAGAGCTTTATAAACAAGTCAGACGAGTTTAGATGCAAATAATAATTTACTTTCTGCTATATTTCCACCATTGCCTGAGTAAACTGCAGAGGGAGCAAATAAAGGCTGTCGTTAACGAGCCTAATCGTTCGCTAACGAGTTAAACTCGAGTTAAACTCGTTAACGATCTGTTCTTTATGTCGCCACAGCGACCGGCTCAGTTTAATTTCCTCCTCGTCGATGAAAGACTCGGACTATTAGACGAATGAACTCCTCGTCTGAAATCCGACTAACTTGGTTTATTTGTGTGTTAAGCATGTGACTAAAACTATTTACCAACAGACTGAGATAATTAACATTTGAAGTCAGAAAAGACAGTTCAGTGGTTAATATCTGATAGCTAATAGCTAGTCTAATATCTATCTTTAGATCAGTTTTTGTAGTTTATCATATCAGGACAGTGAAATAAAAGCAGCATTTTCTTGTAAAAAGTATATTTGCACTTCATTTGAGAAGGTAAGTGAAATGATGTACCAATGGAACGGGATTTATTTTTACTTAAAATAATTCAAAGAAACCATTTCAGTTATCATATAAAGGGCAGAATTTGAAAATCATCTTTTTTAGGGATCAAAATACTCATTTATTGGCAGATCATTTACTTACCTGCTCAAATGAAGGGAAGTTATGTTATTTCAAGACGTTTTTGCTCATTTCTAGATCAGTTTTTGCAGGTTGCACTGATTCTAAGCTTACCCTTTTTTTTTTTCTGACACACTTAATCCCATGGGGACCCCAAAAGGGGTCATGAGGGGTGCTGGTGTCTATCTCCAGCTGTCTACGGGTGAGAGGCGGGGTCCACCCTGGACAGGTCTCCAGTCCATCGCAGGGCAACACAGAGACAAACAGGACAAACATCCATTCACGCACACACTCTAAGGAGAATTTAGAGAAGCTAATTAACCTAACAGTCCTGTTTTTGGACTGTGGGAAGAAGCCAGAGTACCCAGAGAGAACCCACGCATGCAAGGGAGAACATGCAAACTCCATGCAGAAAGACCCCGGTCTGGGAATCAAACCCGTGAGCAGCCCTCTAAGCTCATCATTAAACGGAAACATACCAAATAAGCCAATTTTTCCTTAAATAATTGTATTTTCCCTTAATTTTTCAGCTTTGTGGGGGGTCAAGTCAATTCACCATTAAAATAAGACGATTTATGTTTAAAATAAGAAAATAATTATTACTATCTTACGCATTATCCTATCTTATAAAGTGAATAATATTTAATTATCTTAGTTTAGGGGAGAAGTAATAATGTGATTGACAGCTCATATTAAAGGCTGATGCAGCCCTTTTAAGACATTCTAACCTGTTTTAGATCAGTTTTTGCAGCAGGGTCTGAGCTGCTTAACAAGCAACACGTACCTGTAGAATTTGAGCGAAGGTCCCACAGCGAGTAAAACAAACGGCACCACGGTGTAACTGATGGCGATCTGCGTGCAGGCCCACGTGATGACGTCGTAGACGCGCTTGTGCAGGTCGGAGGCCAAAAAGTATGGCCTGATGTTGTGCCGTACCTACAGGACGGGAGCACATTTTAAAACTTTTTGATCAAACTGAAGCAAAGAGGCTAAACGACCCAGTTTTACTAATCCAAACGTCTTCCCCTCATTACAGTAACATCTTCCGATTGTTTTGCCTTTTATTCATCCTAGGATCCCTTCAGATGTCTGCCTGAGCATATATGTACAGAAAGCATCATTAGTTTTTATGCAATAACTGGGTCAGCCTCCTCTGACATTTTAATGACTCAGGCTTAGGAGATATCAATGCTAATGGACCCGTATTCAAAACAGAGGTTAAAGTGGTTCATTATCAGGCTACTCTCCATTAGCTGATTCTGTTTGTGTTTTCTTTTCTTGCATCAGCTGCTGTAAACCTAAAGAGCTCTCATGCTAACAGAATAAAGCTTCTATAAAAGTGAATCCATTATCTAAAAAGGCCTCTCACTTCCTATAAGTGGAGAAAATGATAATTGTGGTTACAGATTATCTCTTAGATTTAAAGATGCACGCTCACTTTATATTCCTCTAAAAATAAAAAAAGCCCTAAAATCATTTCTATCTTAGCTAAATGAGGTTAAAAAGACCAAAAGTTTGTCATAATAGTGTTTAGATCCTTATTGAGTTTAAATAGAGTCACAACAGCTGACATAGACAGACATGGCGCCATCTGCTGGCAGTACTAAGGAAAGACAGTTGGTGAAAACAGGCAGCTACTTAATAGAGAATCAATCAATCTATCTATCTATAATATTTATATTTTTATCACTAATCTCAGTATTAATGAAGATAGAAAATCACCTATTCCATTGGGAAACACTTACTAACCTGCTCAAAATGGAAAAATATATTTATTTTAAGAAAAAAAGGACTTATTTCTATATTAATTTTTGCAGTGCTGGAAAAACAATGTAACGATCTAACAAATTAAACACACTGCAATATATAATATATGACGAGATATAGGTTTATTTTTTTCTGGATTTGGGAAATGAAGTACAACAATTTAACAATAGAAAAAGATTATTTACATTTAAAATAAAAAAACAACAATTCCATTATCATAGTTGAAGTGTATAACATCCAATCATCTTATTTTAAGGATAATAATTCCTATTCCCTCGATAGATCGTCCTATTAAAAGCAAATCCACTTATTTAACAAAATATTTATCAATTTTCTATTCTTTTTTGCAGCCTTCCAGTAAAACTAATTTAAGGTCTGGCTAAAGCATGATGGACTGCAGACGTTTTCTGAGGTCTGGTTTACGTTCAGAAAAGCTATTTCTAGCTGCTCTGCTGCAAAGAAGCGGTGCTGAAGATGGAAGGTCATCTGTACTCACCGCTCGGGCGGCCATGGTCATCCCGATGCCGGTGATGAAGGTCAGGTAGTAGCCGGGGTAGACGCCGTGCCACATGGCTGACAGCAGGAAGGTGGCGGCCGTGGGGTTGACGGGACACCGCTCGTAGCAGACTCTACGGAAACCCATCGAGGCACATAATCAGGGCTCCGTTAAAAACCAGTTGATCAGAGCTCAGAAACACTTCTGCTCAGAGGTTCATCCACCATGAAGACGAGGAGAAACCTCCTCTTAGTTTCTATATTTTAATGATTATTTGAACTTTTCTTGTTTCAGGGGGAAGCTATGAGGTAAATTTAAACTGACTGCAGGTTTTTCTAATCCACACAAGATCGAAATTATAACAGGCTCCGATGTTTACTTACACCTCAGCAGTATTCGGTTAAATGGACAAAGAGTATGTCACGACTTGAGCTCTTTTGGTCGCCATCAATGAGCTTCTGGGATCATTCTGGATGGATATCTGACCCCCTCTATGATCAGAAATCATCTGATTTCAGGTTTTCAGGCTTTGAACTTCACTTTCAGCCGGGATGAGGTTGATTCATTGTTTTAAGAAAAACTAACATCCAGTTATTTCAATGTTTAAACCAATCTGCTGCCTGTTTGAGTTGGAGAAAATGAAGCGAGTCGTCATTAGTGCACTTAGCAAAATAGCTCCATGGCATGATACTACCTCTACCGTGTTTAACAGTCTGTAACATAATTGGAAGACGGAATACTTCTAACCAGAGAAGCCATTTTAGGATGATCGGTGTTCCTGTTAAAAAGGCTAAAAAGGAAGCGGCGCTAGTAAATTATGGACCGTTACCTGGTGCTTTTGTGGTTTCTAACTGAATCTCCTCTCCTTGGTTTAGAGTCTGTTATTAAATATTCCAACTGAATCATGTTTCAGAAAATAGAAATAAAGCCATTTTAGGGGAAGACCAGCTGCCGTACACTGCAAAAACTGAAGAACAAGTATTTTTTCCTTGAAATGAGCAAATAAGAAAAACAATGGAATCATTGATTTGTGTCATAAATAAGAAACAAACAGACCCACATGTATAATATATATTATCTAATTTAAAGGGCCAGAATACTAACTTCATCGGCAGATCATCTCATTTAACAGGTAGAATTAAAGCCTAATAAAATTATTTTAAGAAAGTTTTACTTACGTTTAGATCTTTTTTTGCAGTGTCTGATATCTGAACTGCAAAAATGAAACTAGAATGAGGTAAAACTTTCTTTAAAGGTTTATTTCTATTTCTACTCAGAGAGAGTGAAATGATACACTGCAAAAATGATCTAGAAAGAAGTAAAAATCTCTTAATTTCATGGTATTTACCATTAATTTGAGTAGGTAAATGAGAAAGTTTGCTAATGGAATGAGATTTTTTACTCTTTAAATAAGATAAGTAGATAATATGCACTTGAAATAGACAATGCAATTGTGTTTTTCTTCTTTTAAATGTAAATTGTATTTTTCCATTGGCAAAGTGTCTTACTTACCTCCTCAAATAAAGAAAAAATGAACTTATTTTAAGAAAAAAATGACTTATTTAGGTTTAGATTTTTTGCAGTGTATGCTTAACTTTACACTGGAAACTTAAAAGTATGAGTCAGACAGTTTCTATATAAAACATTTATAAATCTCTTAAAAAAAATAAAAAATTTCCCTTAATACGAGCTGGTAAATAAGATGATCTGCCAAAGAAATGAGTATCTTTCCTTTAAAATAAGATCATTTGATTAACTTACGAACTTAAAACAAGATGCTGGAGTTGTTTTTTCTTCTTTTAAAGGCAAATCTCATTCTATTGGCTTAAATCATGGGGGACTACATTTATTATTTTTTTTTTAATCAAGATATTTATGTTTTATTTTTGTGATAAGGGATAAGACTGTATGTATATGATGTAAAAATAAGCAAAAATCTTCTAAAAAATCGTAAATTTAGATAATCTCCAAATGGACTAAGCATTTTTGCCCTTAAGCTGATTAGATATTATGAACGTAAAATGAGATAAAAGAGTCGTTTTTTTTCTTACGTCGATGTAACTAATCTTATCCATTAGCAAATCATCAGACTTGTCTGCTTAAAACAAGGTAATCTACACTTCTTTCAATGGACTAACGACACTGTTATCCTATTTCAAGTGCAGGATATACAGTTAGTTGATTTTAAGGGCTAAAATTCTCCTTCCATTTTCAGGTCCTCTAACTTACCTGATCAAATTAAGGATACATTTATTTTAAGAAGTTAGATCAGTTTCTGCAGCGTAAGGATAATCTATGGTCTGAAAGGTCATGTCAAACATTTTAGACCAGTTCAACAAAATCTGGGGAAAAAACATGTAATCTAGGTAAGTAATTTTATTTTAAATTAAGTGCATTTGTCTTTGAATTGAGGAGGTAAACGACACATTTTGCTAATAGAAAAAGACAGTTTACATTTAAAAAAGGAAAACACAATTGCATTGTCTTATTTCAAGTGCATTTTATCTAAATATCTTATTTTAAGAGTAAAAATACTCATTCCATTGGCAAACTATCTGGTTTATCTACTCAAATTAAGGGTAAATACACATAATTTAAGACATTTTTACTTATTTCTAGATTGTTTTTTCAGTATGGAACAAAAGATCCAGCAAGAATAGTTTGAAGAAAAAAAAAACCATGATGACCACAAAAAAATATGACTTTATGGTGCAGCTTGACAAGATGTAATCGTTTAGGCATTGCTCTGAGTAGATCTATATGTCTATTCCATAATTTGACCCTGTGTTGAAGACAGGACACTGTAAAAACCATCTAAAAATGAGAACATATGCCTTAAATTAAGTGTATTTACCATTAATTTGAGTAAGTAAATGGGATAATTTGCCAATGGAATTAGTATTTTTAGTCTTAAAATAAGATAATTAGATAATATGCACTTGAAATAAGNTAAATTAAGTGTATTTACCATTAATTTGAGTAAGTAAATGGGATAATTTGCCAATGGAATTAGTATTTTTAGTCTTAAAATAAGATAATTAGATAATATGCACTTGAAATAAGACAATGCAATTGTGTTGTCTTATTTTAAATGTTAATTGTCTTGTTCCATTAGCAAAGTGTCTCAATTACCTCCTCAATTCGAGAAAAAAAAAAATGCACTTATTGCAAGAATAAACGACTTATGTAGATTTCTATTTTTTGCAGTGGAAACCCTTAAAACAGTCACAATTGAGTGGTTTTTTATAAAATCATCCCAACCTGAAAAAGGTAAAAGTTCAAATGCATCATTAAAAAACAAAAATCCAAACTGAACCTGAGATTCCTGCAGCTGAGAGCCGGTCGACATCCGACCAGAGCTGTTACCTTTTGAGCCACTGAGCCGTTTGGATGTTCCAGTTGTCTAGAAAGAGCTTGAAACTTGTGGCAAACTGAAATGAAACGCAGATTAAACAAAACGTCATGAATTAGGTGAGAAAAAAGAAAAACCTTTATGTGGCGTATTAAAAAAAGAGACGTCAGACCTCAATATCCAGTATTCTGAGGTTTGAAATGAGGTCCCACCGCGGGGAGCCGTCGGTGTCGTAACCGTTGAAGCCAAATCCAGCCGCGTTATTTATGGCATCGGCTGCAGGAGTCAGATAAAACAGACAGTAAGAGGAAACACAGGCGTACAGGGCTGACTGTATGGATTCACACAGGCTGCAGTTCTCGTATGGACACTAGATGGCAATGTTGCATCAGGAAAACACTATTACAGAATTTATTTTTGTTCATTTAAAGACTGGATCTCATCAGTCATCTACGAATAAACAAACCTTCTAAATCTACAGACCATCAGGGAGTTTGTCTAGCTGATGGGTGCAGACGTACCAAAATAAAAGCAGGGGGGGGCTACTGGTGGTATTGTGAGGAAGGCTGCAGGGCCCAGTTCAGACCCCACAGACTGTCACTCTGGCTCCCTGAACAAGACCCTAATCTGCCCCCCAGGCGCTGCAAGCTGCTCCCTAATAACGCTAGCTAAATACAAATGACCCATTTTGTTGTAATGAACATTTTTAATAGCTGATCAAGTTGAATAACAACATGCAGGAACCTCAGAAAGAGGGAAAAAAATCCCACCAGGCTCTAAGTGTGTGGACAGATTTATTCACACACCCCCTCAAAACACAAATGGTGGAAAAAAAAATAAACTGAACATAAAATAAACTTTTCATTAAAAGTACTTTGTTAGAAAGCTAAGCGCTAACATTAGCGCTAAGGCTGAGAGACTCTTGTTATGAACCCTTCAGTCATTATTTAACACATCCAGGTTAAAAAACAGCCAAGAAAACTAGAATACAAACAATATTCTTCTCCAGCGTTCAGTTTCAGACGCTGGTTTCCAATCAAAACATCTATTTGAAAGCACTACTGTAAAAAGCATCGACTTCCTGTATCAGCCACATGAAAGTATTACAGCTGCTATTTACCGCACGTGTTTATGAATGAGGATGTGTGAGTAGAAATGACACAGAAGGGTTTCTGCTGATAGAAACACAGACTACAGAGCAGGAAATGTGTTTAAAGGACGACTCACCCCAAAATAACCCCTTTTTTTTTTCATTAAAACAATGGTTTAAATAGATGTTTTATAGAACTGTTGACATTTCCCATGAATTATTCTGACAATTTATTGGACATTTGTTAAATACCTGTCAGTCCAATATTTTTTTTATTATCTAATTTTAAATTAAAATTGAAAATATTTTGAAATATATCAATATATATTTTTTAAATGCGCAAGATAAATATTTTATATTTAATGACGAGTAAAGCATTATTGCCTTTTTCGGCGGATTGGTGACGTCATTTCCGCGTAAAAATTTTTGCCCACTAACTCTCGTTAAAAGTCGTCCATGCGCAGCAGCTCCTTTGCAATAGAAACATATAGGAGGGTTTAGGCCGCGGCTAAGCTGCCACCTGAGGTGGCAGGAAGTGGATTTGCAGGTGATTGACAGGTCGAGTCAAGGGAGTAACAGACGCATTGTAGAGAGAGAGACAGAGAGAGAGAAATGGTTCAAGAAATGTCTTTTTCTAGGACCTGGTTTAGCTCCAAGGCTAGGCTAACTGCATGTAGGGAGGCTAACACTTTATCTTGCTTTCGCTGCCTCCTTTTTCAGACGTCGGGATCTGAGCCAGCATGGATAAAGGCAGCTAGGACTGATTTAAATCAAATTAGAAAAGTCAAAGAAAAATGAACAATATGGAATTCACAGGGACAATAATAGAATCTAGTTTCCTTTTTCTAGATGTTTGCTAATTTGCATAGTTGCTCTTAAATAAACACATTCTCAGAAAATAAATAGTTTTTATATATCAAAAAAATATAAAGCTGATTAATATCTTCATTATTAAACTGGCAGATTATTTTTTTTAGGTTTGTGAAACACTATTGGAGCATGCAGAACACAGATTCATCTTCACAAAGCCTCGCAACATTTATAGACAAAAACTAAACCTGTAGATTAATTTTTTTAAAGTGTTTTTATAAATATATTGGTGTCATAACTCGGTATACGTTTGATTGGTTTTTGGTTTACGTCTAATTTAATTTTAAAGCCGCCCCTGCAGAAAACTCCACCAGCCGCCATTTCTAATTACTTCCCCCTAGACACCACAAAACAGCTAGACATAACACGTAGTAATCTTGTAATCTCACCAAGAGTCCACACGAAGTAGTACTTTGGCCTCAGAGCGAGCATTGCCAGGTAAAGGTAGACGACCTGCAGGTAGAAGGGCGTGGACTTGACAAAGTGGTCGTCTATGGAGTAGTGCACGGGGAGCAGCCTGTAGAGCGACAGGTAGGTGGCCAGAGAGATGGCGCACGTGAACAGCTTGGACACCACTGCATGCTGGGAGGGGATGGGAAAAAAGGCAATAAAAAAAACCTTATTTGATTATGAAACATTACAAGCTGTTATGCTGGAAAGGGCATATGAAATTTGATGCCTCTCCCTCAGTTAGATGGAGAGTTTTACCCATTTACTGGTTGTTTATCTTAGATTATCTTTGTGTAAAAGAGTTTCTTGTGTTCATGATAAACTGACAAAATGATTTATAGTTAGTACGTGACCAAAAATTTTTTTTTTATTTGATTAATTCTCAACACCAAGGATGTTTCTCTTTAAAGATCCAAAGAATCAGTTTAAAATAATGAATATGTTACTGTAGGCAGGGGCGGATTTAGGAAATTTGGGGCCCAAGGCAAAAACAGGCAGGGGGGCCTCTGAATGGAGAAGACGACACATAAAATAAAGATAGAGAAATGTTAATAGAATAGACATCCATTATCTGTTCTAGGTTTTGTCCCTCTCTTCTTGTCCCTTTTCCGCTCCATGTTTTCTTTCTTTCTGTCCCTTTTTCTTTTCATATGGGCAATGTGCTTAGCTGACTTTTCATGCTGTCTCCAAAGGAATGAAAGATTTTTTGCAATCACTAAGCCCACTTAGCTGATTGCTCCTTACTGTGTTTCCAAATCTGTTCTTCATTTTTCATTTGGATGAAATAATAGCTGCATGAATCATGACAGCAGACAAGATAGAGGAGAGCAGGAGGCGGGGTTACCAATCTACTCGCTCTGGAGAGCAGAGTTCGCTCCAGTAGCAGAAAAAAGTCGCTAGGCGCTTTTTTGTAATAAAGCGCTAGAAGGTTCTGAAAAGTCGCTAAATATAGTGACTAAAGCGCTAAACTGGCAGCACTGCTCTTCCTGCCATTTTTTATTCAAACCTTTCTGCACACGTGCAGCAAATGGACTGATCCAATCTGGTGGACACTGAAGGGGGGGCCCTAAGACAAACTTCATATTATACGCGTTCTGATGACATTTTAACGAAAGGATTTTTATCAAAAACAAAAATAATGTTCACAAATAGGTAACAGCTGTATTTACCATACATGTAAACAGAGTTTTATGGGCAACTGCCTAGTATTGCCTAATGGTATGTCTGACCCTGACTATAGGGACGCAGTAAGAAATCAGCTGTTCATTGAATTAAAAGCAAAGCAAAATGATAATACATAAAGACATAACAAATCTTTGTTACAAATTAAATTTCTATAATGCGTCCGGATCTAATGAGCTTATATCTATATTTCAAGCCATCGAGCCATTTTAAAAGACCTAAAAAGTTATCCTGAATTATCCTGCCATAATGCAAGAGCACATAATTTCAATTTGAGAAAAGAATTTCATCTTCTTGCACTCAAAACTTATAATGCTCACACTCAAAACATGCTATTAAAAAAGCTATTAAAATAAGAAGCTGAAAAACAACAATCAGGAAAACAAAAAAAGGAAATAATAACTAATGAAAAGTCACTTAATTTCTGCTGGAGGCAGAATTAGCATCTGCCCTGACTAGCAAACTTTATTATTTTTTTGTGACGAGCAACTCTGAGGCGGGAGTTTTCTGTTCACATCACGTCACGTCTGAAAATGGATAGCTTTTAAATTAAAAAGCCATTTTATTGTCGGTAAGGTTTATCACAGGCACACTCAGTAGAGTTAGACAAGCGCACCCTTTCCGAGGCTGTCGTTCTATTGGCTGGAAAGGTTGCTAGGCGACGATCCGACTGCAATCTGAGAGGGCAAAAAAATCCGCAAGCAGAGCCTACAGGTTTGCGAGCGTAACTGAGACTTGAGCAGAGCGCGGTTTGTGCGCGAAGAGAAGGAGGCAAGCGAGAGGAGAAAATATCTGTGCAAGAAGCATTAAATCTGAGAGAAGAAACAAAGATTTGAGAGAGAAGAGAAAATATTTAAGAGAGAGCGCATGTTTTGAGTGTGAGCATTATAAGTTTTGAGTGTAAGAAGATTAAATTCTTTTCTGAAATTGAAAATATGTGCTCTTGCATTATGGCAGGATAATTCTCCCATAAAAAAGCTACTAAACGCTCTCCGTTTAACAAAAACAAAAAACAGAAATTAAAAATCAGACAAAAAAATCTAATTACTTTCAGTTTATTATAAAAAAATTATCTAGAAATAACTAAAAATGTCCTAAATGAAGTGTATTTATCCTCATTTTGAGTAGGTAAATCAGATGCTGTGGCAATGGAATGAGTATTTTTACTCTTAAAATAAGATAATTGGATAATATGCACTAGAAATAAGACGACATAATTGTTTCTTCTTATTTTAAATGTAAATTTTCTTGTTCCATTGACAATACAAGAAAAAATGACTTATTTTGAATGAACTTTTTTGCAGTGCAAACTTAAAAATAACTGAATTAACTCAAAGATTTTTTTCAGGTAATTGCTTTAGTTTCACAACAATAAAAATCTGAATTGCGTGTTTTTACTTAAAGCTTCTCTAAATCATTTCCTTATAACCGAAGTGAGCAGAGTAATGATGAGAGCAGGGATGTACCTTCGGCGAAGGTTCGCTCTGCTTGACCTTTCCGTTCTCCTTGCCGTTGGCGTTCTCCTGGTGCCGCCGCTGGTAGGACGTCCCTTCGATGAACGCCATGTAGTCGTTGTAGGAGCAGGTGGGGCCGGCCAGGATGCCCATGAAGTTGCAGTTGTAGCTCAGGTACTCCAGCAAGCTGGGCATCCGGCTGTGGAGGTCAGAATCAGAAATACTTTAATAATCCCAGAGGGAAATTACTTTTGTTACACGCTCCAGTTACAGTTTTATATAATATATACACACATCCAACTATTCAATGTAATAAAGATTAAAAAAAATAAGAATAAAAATATAAGATGGTCAGGGAAGATTATTTCCAGGAAAAAACACTGTTTAGTTAATGAGTTGAGAAAATATGGCGGAGGCTGAAGTTTCTGTCTGGTTCATTGTTTTGGGTTTTCAAGATAACCAAAATAATAGAAAATAAGAAATTAAGTGCTATTTTCTTTTTATCTTCCCATTTATTTTATTTAATTTTTTTGTTTTAAACTGTTTATTAGTGTTTCTCACAGTTGTTTACATCCACAATGTACATGACCACATCACATTCAACACAACATACACTGGAAAAATTTTTTTTAACCTCAATAAGTCATTTTTTCTTAAAATAAGTGCATTTTTTCCTTGAATTTAGGAGGTAAGTGTGAAACTTTGCCAATGGAACAAGACCGTTTCATTTGAGATAAGAAAAAACTATTCCATTGTCTTATTTCTAGTGCATACTATTTAACTATCTTATTTTAATAGTAGAAATACTTAATCCATTGGCAAATCATCGTATTTATCTACTCAAATTAAGAGTAAATACACTTCATTTAAGAAATGCTGACTTATTTCTAGATTGTTTTTGCAGTGTAACATAACATAAATCCTTTGCTTGCACTGGAAAAAAATCGAAATCCAGATAAGTCATTTTCTCTTAAACTAAGTGCACTTGTTCTTGGATTAAATTTATCTTATTAAATTTACATTACCTAACTATTTTATTTTAAGAGTAGAACTATTCATTCTATTGGCAAATCATCTTATTCATCTGCTCAAATTAAGGGTAAATACACTTAATTTAAGAAATGTTTACTTATTTTTAGATTGTTTTTCCAGTGTGGGAGCCTTTTCTCTATTTCACCTTTGTCCCATCTGGTTTATCTAGTTCTTTAATTTTGTTGCTCTCTTTTGTCTCTTTCGTCCACTTTTCTTCCATTTGAGTTTTCTGACGTCTTAAACGATGTGTCAGTTTTTCCATAAAGTAGATTTCTTCTAGTATTCCAGTCCTTTGTTCCTGATAAGGGGGGGTCAGCCTTTCTCCATTTTCTCCTAATTGCTTTCTTACCAGCTATTAACATTATCTTAATAAGATATCTCTTCTTCACCCTTACTTTGGAATTGTTAAAATTGCAAAGATATAGAACCACACAACTCATAGGAGCATCATATCAGAGAATCTTCTTCAGTTTCATGTATATTTTTCCTAAATTGAACAATTTTTGGACAGTTCGTAAATACGTGAGAATGATCGGAGCTCATTGAGCCACAATTATGGCAAAAACCCTTATATCTGTTGTCCTTATATCTATTCTTGACTTTAGGCGTGATGAAAAATCGAATTAGATTTTTCCATGTGAACTCCCTCCATATCGGTGAATTGGTGGATGTCTGACGCGTTTTCCACATATCCAGTTAATCTTCATCTGAAATTTTTATGTTTATCTTTCCATTTTTTAAAGCTTGAAGGTCCCAGCGAAGCCTAATCCCATCAGCACTAAAAATCTATTATCAGTACACTGGAAAAAATCAAAATCTAGATAAGTTTTTTTTTCTTAGTGCATTTGTTTTTGTATTGAGGAGGTAGGTGAGACACTTTGCCAATGGAACAAAACAATTTACATTTAGAATAAGGGGAAAAAATTACATTGTCTTACTTTAAGTGCATATTATCTAATAATTTTATATTAAAACGTTTTAATTCCATTGGAAAATCCTCTTATTTACCTGCTCAAATTAAGGGTAAATACACTTAATTTAAGAACTTTTTTACTTATTTCTAGATTGTTTTTGCAGTGTAAGAATGTTGACGATGTATTCACTTTTCTTGCTTAAATCGATCGTGAAATTTGATCTTGTAATACTAAAACTACAAAGTTTAATGAAGCTCGGTCAGATTGTACATAACTAATCTGTGAAGATCCATCTTTAAGTTTTCCCCTTAGATTCCCCATCTGGACTTTGACTAGGCCGTCCTGTACACAGACTGTGTGTTTTCAGGGTTGTTGTCCCACTAGAAGGACAATCTGCACTATGTTAATTAAGATCAGCTGCATTTCATCTCCATCAGAGAAGATTTAAGACCATTTGTTAAGCAGGAGGGATGGATGGGGGATTACAGGCATTCCCACATTATGATTCACTCCAGAGCAGCCGGTGTCTTTGGTTTCCTAGATACGGAGAGCTTAACTGACAGAGAGAAAGCGAGCAGGAGGGGACGTGATCATTCCCAAAGCAGACAGCGAAAACAGCTCCGTTAAAATACCATCAGAGCTGCAGTTTGCCGCTCTAACGAGCAGCAAACCTGTTTATTCAACCCTGAAGCATTAAAACATACCTGAATCACGTACCTGATAGCTAGGTATTTCTGACTGGGAGTCAGCTGGCCTTCCCTGCACTTCGACAAACCTGCGTGGAGAAACAGAGACGCTTTAAATACAATGCACGAACATCAGCATGATGCACGGCAGGGAGGGGAATCAGGTTTTGAGGTCAAAGAGTTCAGGTTTTAGAGGCCTGAAAGTTCCCTTCAAGCAGAGGTTGCTGCTTTAAAGGAGACCTGCAGGTGTTGAATTCAGGAAAAAGCTGTGTGAAAAACGACACGCTTCACTAATCCAACGACTACGTTCACCAGAGAAAAAAAAATGCAAAGTGAGCAATAAAAAAATAAATCCAAAACATTAAAGAAGTATACGGTAGTTTGGGCTCTTTACTGTTTAACTGCATCATGATTTAACACATTGAAGGCTTGTTTATTGAGAGGACATAAGTTTCCCTTCTTTATGAAAGCCATCATCACAGCTAGTTTAGGCCTCTTTGTGCTCAAACCGCTGCCAACAGCAGACAGAGGAAGGCAAAGAGGGCACCCTTGATCGTAAATCCATTACATAACCACGCCTGCGCTCTGTTTCTGCTCCACTGGTTCACTCTTGATCTGCTCTTTCACTTCTGTCACAACTGGCACCTTGGCATCTAGAGGTGCACACACACATGCCGAGGAGCAGAAAGTGTCTTACCGTCACGGATCTCAAAGGCCATGCTGGTGATCTTCTGCGTTATAACCATCATGGGCCTGAAAGCCAAAGAGATAATAAGAACATTAACTGAACTATTCTACAGCATTTCATCGTATTAGACTTAGTGAAAACGGAAAATGAGAGGAATCCTCACTTTTCTGCATATAAGAACAAAAACATCAATATCTATGCGACACAAAGTAATGCGACTTTGTTAGGAAGTAAAGCTTCAATCCCTTAAGCCCAGAGGGTCTGAGGAGCAAATTATGCCTGATATTACATGTGAATTTAAGCAAGTAAACCTCCCAAACTATAAACTGGAAATACAGTTTGTATTTGTATGACAGAAAGGCATTGAGGAATATTTTTCAGGTGGAACCATTATTTTAAATGTCACCATTTCTGATTTATAGGTGATTAAAGAAAAAAAAAAGGAAAAAAAAATTATTTCTTTCTGAAATAAATCCTGCAAAACACCATGAAAACCCATTTTAAACTCTGGATGAAGCATCAGATTTTATAGATCCACATCTTGACTGTAAGTCATGCGAATTTGGACTGAATAAGTTAAAGCATATTTATTCCACAAAGGTTTTATTGGGCAGTGTGCGAGGTGGAAATGTGATTTTGGCAAAATGCCCAAAATGCAAAAATGCATTTTTCTAGTCATGAAAGGGAATCAAGCCAGAAAAATAAGCTGATATACATTATTAGAGACCTTCTGCATAAGAAATAGCCTTTTGTCCTAAACTTTTGCTGTTGGTGAATTAAAATTTAACAAAAATATCAACAAACTGAATAGAAAATAAGAATACTTTTTTTTTTCTTAAGATAAACGCATATTTTCTTGAATTGAGGAGTTAAGTGTGAAACTTTGCCAATGGAACAAGACAATTTTCATTTAAAAGAAAAAAAACAATTGCATTGTCTTATTTCAAGTGCATATTATCTAACTATCTTATTTTAAGAGTAGAAATACTTATTCCAAATTATCTAATTCATCTACTCAAATTAAGGGTGAAGATGTTGACTTAATTCTAGATTGTTTTTCCAGTGTAACCGAACAAGCTTATGTAACATATGCCGGTTATCACCTGAAATGGACCTTTCCATGGCCTTGGAGAGGTCTGAGCCTCTAGTTTCCAATAATGGCGGCCATTAGGGGGTGTGGCTAAAAATGAACACCTGCTGTTGCGTTACTCCCGCAGAGTTTTTAAATCTCATTTTATTTGTTTACACAGCTATAAAACAAAAAGCACTTGTGAAAAAAAATAATTTTGAAACACGTTTTAGATATTTTAAAGCCCCGTTTGAAAGGCGTGTGGATCAAACACTGTGTGACTGAGTTTTGGCCATTTCTACGAATAGAGAAAAATGAGCAGCTGTCAGTTAGCCTCATTTTTACTAAAATAAGTATTTTTTTTTTTAAAGCTTCTAATCAACTGAGCTCTGTTGTTTTTTTCCAGGATCACTCTCTCCGCTGAAGAAAAAATTCCCACAGCATGACGCTGCCACCACCGAACTTACTACCTATTAAACCAGGCTTTCAGTGCGATATGATCTCTGACTGGATGACGATATAAGCTGCCTTTTCCCTTCCGTTCTTTATTTCCTCTCAGTTCCTTCATCACTCTGTGACCTTTAGCCTTTGGGCCTGATGTTAGCATTCGTCAGACTGATCAAATGTCACATTAGCATGAACGATGCAAGCTCACCACACTCTGACAATATTGGTCAACAAGCTTAGTCCAACCTAGAAGCTATTCCCTGACCTGCCTGCCTGCTGAGGCTGTTTGCTCTGAAGAAACTCAAACTTTTGGAGAAAAGCTGCATTTCTATTAAAGTGAGCTCACGCACTAAAGGTGAACAGTCTTGTTATATGACTTTTTCAAATTTATACCCCAGTAGCTCGCTCTGGTATCATGTCAGTGTATTATTTATTATCCTTCTGTTACACCCTTTGTTTTTGCTTATAAAGCCTTTCAAATTATATTTGCAATAACAACAGCAGTACAATACTGCACAGATAAGACTGAGCAGTGCTGGGAATACAGTATGAACACAGTGTTCAGTGAAGCAGGAGCTAAGCTGATGAATATGTGAGTAAACGTCCTTATTGACGCTGATACTACTGATAGCAATCCTGTAATACGCTCTGGAGTCTAAGTAGTAGTTTTCTGCCTGAATCCAGCAGACAAGTCAAGATCAGAGTCAGTTCATGACTCAACAACAATTAACTTACTGGGAAATTTTAGAGCCTTTTATTTTGCATGAAAGGTTTTTTGCATATACATTTATTAGTTATTTAATTTTAAAATTGACTTGGATTTGTTAGGAACAGAAATGTTATTTTTCCTTGATGCTCTGACAGGACTGGGAAAAATTGACTAGAACAGGTGTGTTCCAAAACATTTTTACCTGCAGACCCCAAAAATAACAATGCAACCGGCTGGAGACGAGACCCTCTAAACATGCATAGGATTACTTGTATAAATACAAGTGAAGTAATAGTATTTGTTTTCAAATTTACGTTTAAAAATAACAATCTTGTTTCTAAATTCACAGTTTTAAAAGTGTTCGTAATTATTCAATGGCTCATTTTAATATTTAATGTTATATATAATATCTAAAATCAAGTTTTAGATGAATAAATGTAACATCTACTTATTTTATGACATATTTATTTATTTCATGAGGATCACATCGCAGCGAGTGCAAGAACCATCGACCCAATCGTGGAGTCTTAGCTTTACGGTGGAGGATCGGACTGGTAATCTGTGATTTCAGGGTGCGAGGGCTGGCCCTCCTTCAATCATACCGGCCCCAACACTTCCTCTCCGGCTGAAGCTCCTACCTGTGACAGTAAATAACTCCCTAAATGATGCATGCAGTATATATAGCCCTTCCCTGTCATGCTCATCCTTGTGACGGTTAGCATATGGTTTAATTTCCTAGTTCTTCAAACTATAAAATCCTAGCAACACACTAAATTATAATAAAACTAAAATATTTTCTTTAAACCAAACCACAAAGTTCCTCTTATATTTGGCGAATTTATGTTAAAATATTTTGCAAAAATATGTTGCGTTGCATGATGGGTTTTGCTTCTAAAGGCTAACGTTTCCCGTCTTACATGCATTGTTGCCAAGTTGGGATGTTTCCCAATCTGGCAGTTTAGGACGACCGTCTATGGGTGAAAAATGTTTCTCTTTAGATTTATGGCCTAACAGATCAACAGACTTTGGCTCAAATTGGGCGACATTTCGTATATCCAGGCAGTTTATGAACATTTTTTGGGCTGGAAGACGTGAGTCAGTGACATGTGGCCACCCTGCTGAAGTCGCTGCGGCGTCTGTTTTAAAAACCAAAGCATTATAGAAGTCTTGCTGATGGTTGTCATGTGATGCTTGAAGATAAATCGTTTAATCCACAATGTGTATGCAGGACGGTCAGGCTCTATTAAGTAGCTTCCTCAATCGCCACCATCCAGCTTTCTGTTTCGGTAGTACTGCCAGCAGATGGCGCCACATCTGTTCATTTCTACACATTACATCTAGTGCTGGAAATCTGTTTAGGCTCATAAAGGCCTGTCTAAACACTCTCAGCATGGATGTTTGGTGAATATTTCCTCATTTAACCGTGATCAAATGGTTTATGGTCTATTTTGTACAGACAGATGATGGTATTATGCCCCTTTAAGATGAAAATGCAGTGTGTGCATAGTCGCCCTGCAAATATGAAGGCGTTCAACTTTCTTTATTGGTGTCAGAGTAAAGGGGTCGGATAAAAAGAACACTGCAGAGGTTTTAAATAATGCATTTTGTTTAGTTTTGATGCAAACATTTAAAATGCATGTATTTTAATGCAAAAAAATTTAATATTTTAAAATTTGTTTTCTACAGGAAAGGATTCATTTTAAAACAGATTCCCAATTTGCACTTTTAAACATAATTTTTGCTAAAAGCACTGCACTATCTTTATTTTGCTTTGTTTTGCAATGCTATCATGAACCTAATGGGCTCAGATAGCAATTAGTGTCTTAATAACAGTAACAGCCCCAGCTGTACCAGTAAGCCTACAATGGGAAGTTCCCTCCCGGATAATTACATCCTAGTTTGAACTTCCTATCTTCCTTCCTTCTATTCTTCCTCCTTTTTCCCCTCCGACTCTTCCACAACCCACATGTGCGTTAGTCATCTCTCGTCTCTCTCAGAGCAGGAGAAGTTGCGGCCTGGTTTTAAATTTGCAAGCTCGGCTTCTCTATGCCTGGATCCACCCATTATAACTGGCCAAATGGTTTGACATTTTTGGAGGCAAACAGATGGACGGCCAGCGCAGCTGAAGGAGTGAGATCTCTGCCGTCACAGAGGCAGGATGGGTTTGTGTTACGCTGCTTAGCGACCGGCCACCCCCCCCCACCCTGCAGCATGTCTGCTGAAATGACCAGACAGCGTGGAGGAGCTGAAGCAGCGTCCTACTGTGGACATGCCTGACACCCCACTGACTAAAAACACTTATTATATTCCATTGAAAGTTTTATGTATGTCCCAGTGGTGTTGGAGAAGCTTACCCTGTGAAATCTGCAGAGTACATGCCGTAGTCAAAAACGTAGACTCTTGTGATCTGACACAGGATCAGATAACCCAGGGTGACGATAAAGCAGTACCTGCACAGACAAGGAGAGAAGCAACAGAGACATATTTAGTTTTTACACTTTTAGCTGCTTCACTTTGGTCCAAATCTGCTGATTTTGGCAACTTTCAACTTTTCTGGTGGTTCGGCTTGTATTCACCAAACACTGTGTTTATGGGTCAGATGTGTCCCGGATAGGAGACCAAAAGGTAAATACAGGAAGAGGATTTTGAATTCCAATCCAGTAGGAAACATTTTGAATAAAATCGGATCATTATCGGAGTTCTGGGGAATATTTCAAGGGAAATTATTTGAGAACATAGATTTTTTTTGTTTGGTTGCGTTTCGTTGTGTCCCATCAGATGAATATGGACATGGATGAATATTGACCATTGGCTGGACCAGGATGCAGGCCTGATAGAAGTGTGATGCTGAGGATGAAGAGCCTGAGACCCTCTGCGGTCTTGGTTCTGTTAAGTTTTATTTTGAGTATTCAGTTTCACTTTGTTCCATGTTTTTCTTTGTTTCCTAGTTTTATTGGTTCAATTCATATTTTGTTGTGTTTTCTGGACATATTTGAGTTCTTAGCTTTTTCTTAGTTGCCCTCTTGTGTTGGTCTCCCTTCCCCTAGCTCCCTTCTAGAATCCTCTGTTCACACCTGCTCCCAATCAGCTCATTAGTCCTGTCTTTGTTCAGTCTCCCATATATACTCTTCCTGTGCAGTTCCTCAGTGCTGGTTCCTCGTCTTTTCCTGGTTCTCCACGGGGGTGTTTCCCATGAAGTTGTTTGGTTTTTGGTTCCATGTATTTTATTCTTTGGTTTTTGGATTTCAGTTGTTCAATTAAATCGCCAAGAACTCAACTCTGCCTCCGCGCCTCTGTATTTGGGTCCTCTAAACCTCAACCAAACCCTGACAACCCCTGTTTCTCTTTTACTGTGCCTTTCCAGGTCACACAGGGGAAACAACGACCACATTCCTCCAACTCTGATCAAAGGTTGAGTACGGCTGCTTCAAAGCGTGTCTTCTCTAAAAATGGAGCGCAATATGCTGGTGAAGATTCTCAGTCATCCGGCTCATAGTCATTCCAAAAAAACAATCCACTGGACTTTGTTTCCCAGTTTGAAAGCCTTTCGCTTCTAATCCAGTAAGTTTTTCCAATTCATAATTTTTGAATTTAACATTTTGAATTCAATAAGCTTCCTGGATGGAAACAGAGGGTGTGGAAAGGCAATAACCAATGTATACTGAGGGGTGGCCGAAAGCGGACAGGCGCCCGAACCTCAGGGGTAATCTACACTGTTCCAACAGGAAAATAAACAACCACAACATCCATATTTTCTAAATAAAGACCAAATTTGCTTTCCTACAGCCTTTTCTAACAAATATACGCATATATATATATAAACATCCATCTTGTTTAAATTAAAGGTGCAGTGGACAAAATTTGTTTGAGTTCTGGGGTGAACATCTAATTCATTGTCATTACTGACATATTTTTATCAATAATTGTTCTGCAAAGAATTCATACTTACATGTGCTAATTGCTACGTTCAATGGGTCACTCATTATTAAAGTAATTATCTCTGATTTCACTAAAGACTCATGGATGACTTACGGAGACATAATTTTCTCTTTACCCCATAAGACAAAATATAGTTCTGAAAGAGCGTGAATTCTGTATTTATCATCTTTAATGTTAGCATATGGATGTGCATTATTAACAACAGTGTTTTTTTTTGTCAAGTATCTGTTAACAAATGAAAAATGTAAATGTTAAGTGAGTTAGAACATTTCACTTGAGAGTATTACTGCTATTAGAGGGGGAAAATGGTAGGGGTGGCTAATGATTCGGGGGCCATGGCCACCCTTGGCCCCCCATCTAGCTCTGCCCCTGGACGGGAAGCGAAACATCTTCAAACTTGGAAACAAAGTCCAGGGGATTGTTTTTTAACTTTTTGGAAGCTGCTTAAAGAACCAGAGAGCTCAGAACAAGCTGTCTACACTTTGGGTTTTACAGAAAGATCTGAGACCAGACATCCTTAAATGGCTGAAGCTGTTTCCGCAAGTCACAGAGCTTTGAGCAAAGCAAACCTTCTGATAGGCTTTCAACCGTAGACATGCTAAACCTTTGAGTAAACCACAGGAAACCCGTCATCGTCGTCAGAACAGAGATAAACAGATTTATCTCAGTGATAAATCTGATTAAACAAAAAAACTAAAATGTTAGTATTGGAAAAATACAGTCATTTGTTTATATTACAATTTTTTTTTTTTTTTTTACTGTTTTCAAGGCTGCACTTTAAAAAAAATGTCTAGAGAGCTGTTCTTAAATAAAAGTATTTTTGTTTACACTTGTGTGTACAAAATAACAAAATGAATCTGTAAGTCTTCATTATGTTTTCACTGTGTTTTGAAAGTTATACCGCATAAGCTAATAGTGCCTGCATGCTAGCAGAACTAGATGCTAACATGTTTTAAGTTTCCTTTATGACCAACTTTATTTAAAAAAAGGGTTTAAACATTTAATCAACTCAAATTTTTATTTGTTTTATGAATCGCTCGTTGCTAAAATACGATAAAAGAGTCCTTTAATCGAGTACCTTTGTCTGCTAGCCTTTAGCTCCTTTGTCCAAACAAAGCTAAACCCTTTGCTATAAGGCTTCCTAAATACATTTTCATTCCCTCAGAATCAATTATCTAACCAGTTATTGATAAGGAATGCTATGCTAAACTATAATTTTATTGTTTTATCTTATCAATAATCAACAATTTTATTGTATCCTATATTGTTCTATGTTCATAGTAATTATCAGTCTTAGTTGAGTTTCACCATGTATGAGCTTGAATCCCTGTTTCTGTTGTTAACGGTTAACAGTCAGTTGGGTAAATGTTCACAGAAAGGCATGTTTGAAAGTTATTCATTTAAATATTAAATAACGTGAATGAATATAAGAGCTAAACAGTTGTCCTGACAACCATGAAGACATTTTTTGACCTGTAGTTCTCCAACCTAATCCCATTACTGTTTGAATTTATTAAAATTGGACTTTATTGTCAAGCGGAATCTAAATTAGAAAAAATAATTTGGTTTAACACATATTATATATGTTATATCTGCTGCTTAGGTTGCAAATGAGTCAAATCAGACGGGAATATCCATTTTACAATAGCCAAAAAAAACTTTTTAAACCCCTGAACAAAGGGCTTTTAGTGGCAGTGGGAAAAGAGGCGTCTACCCGGTGTTCTGTCAAATGAGCATACCCCGTCAGACCAGCATACCCATAGTCAATACCCGTTTATCCCTTTAGTCTTGTACAAAAAATAGACTTTAAACTACCCCAATGGGCGTGTAGTTTAAAGTCTAAACTAAAGGGATACACACCTGTTGAGGTAGTTTAAAGTCTATTTTTATACAAAACTTAAGCGCTAAGTGCAAATCTGACATCTTGCGCATGCGTAATGAAAATGGGTATGCTGGTCTGAAGAGGTATGCTCATCTGACAGAACACCGGGTCAAACAACTCGACAAGCAACCCACGTTAAAATCGTCGAGTTGACCCGCTAATTTACGTGATACCATTAAACGCAACGTAGAGACGTCAACATGCTGCGCCACTGGCTTCTGCTCTAACAAGCAGAAACAACTCCGTTTACATTGGATAAACATGGAGCAGCTCTGTTGAGAGGGATTGATACAGATACTAGAGAGAAACAATAAAGACTATGCTCTGGATTCCTTACATGTTGCTCTCCATTGTTTACTTTCCTGATTTCTGTCACACTGGTAGGGGAGCCAAATGCCGATTGTCAGCGGATCGACCCATGTTTGAAAAACGGGTTAATGCGTTATTTTCTGTGTGGAAGAGGCTTTAGTGATCTTTGGTAGGTTTGGAAGATGCGTAGACAAGCATGAGTGACAGATTAGATCATGACCAACAATACTTTACTATAAACCTTTGGGATTTTCTCAGACATGACTTTCAGAGGCAATAAAATGGCAGTGAAAGTAAAGCAAAGTTCTTTCAACCACTAAACCTTTTTCTTTAACCAACTTTTTTCATTTTGCTGTAAGGCAGATATGATGGTAGTTAGATATGCAGACCAGAACCAAGTTTTTTGGTTATAATTGATCTGAAGAGGACACCAACAACATCTGGTGACACGCTGCCCCTGAAGCTTGCCTTTATTATACATCATTGGTTTTAACATCTGCATAATATCTCCTCCATTTGTATAGTGATTTTTTTTCTAAAAGGATAAAACAAGAATTTCTAGAAATTTAGCTAATAAGACATCATTTTGTTTATTAATACATTTTATTACTTTTTTATTAATACATTTAAAGCTTCTAACAGACAAAACCTCCTCCTGAAAACCAAATGATGATCCTGAGAAAGCAGCGTACTGTTATGCAGAAGACATGCTGTGTGGGTCGACGGGAGAGGGAAATAAAATCAGACGGAGTAAAAATGATGTTTCTGTGATCATGTCCATCCCACACACTGCCTCGCTTCTAAGAACACACCAGTTTATTTTTTTAAATGAACTGAACACCAGAAACAAAGAGACTCAAGCAGCCTGCATGCAGACCCTAAACCTGATTGGATGCTTCCATTTTCACCCAAACTTTAATAATGGCCAACAAACTGTTACAGGCAGGGTTTTTTTTATTTTCTATTATTTCTTGTAAATAGGCTGTTGTTGCTTTTTGATGCAAAAACTAATGTTTGAAAGGATGCCGCCCTCATGTTATTCCTAAACTTCTTGCCATAAGGACCAAAAATGTGCATTAAAAGTACTCTGAGGGCCAGAAAATAGACTGCCTTTCTGTTAAAATTGCAGCAGGTTTTCATTTCTACGTACTTGACAGTAATGTAAATGACAACATGTCAATGAAACGGCAAATGAATCCGATTTCTGTTGGAAATGGTCATTATAGACATAAGCTTACCATGTCAACTGTTTCAGGTTGGACAGATTAAAAAGCAATGGAATTACATTGTCAGATGTACAGAGCAACATAACTACTGCAT